CAGCTCAGAATCCAGTGGGTATCAGATGTGTGCCAAGTTAGATTATTGATTTCAATCTATCTATCAGCCCCGGTAATGATATTCTTTCATATGGGAATGTTTGTGAAGCCGTTAGTTCGTTCTCTGGTGAGGTATCAGATTTTCATCGTGCCTCTGTGCCCCCCCCCCCTCTTAGTGTGTCTGATGCAACAAAACAGGATGATAGTTTAGCGCTTGGAACTGTTGTCAATCACACCATATCCTTTCTAAAGGCTTTGTGATAATGCTGGATTCGAACACGTATCTAAATTGTTTGGCTGATATACCACAGGATGTCCAAAGGTTCCCAACTGTGCACCTCTAACCCACTGAAAACTAATGATTCATCTGCCTGCTTAGAAATCGTTAGCGGTGCATATTCACCACGTTTTGGAGGATTAGAATCACTCCATCACTGGCGGATCCGGGCCAGATTCCACGTTTTTTTCATGTCAATATTACACGGTATGAAGGACCTATGCTAATGTGACTGTAGGCTTTTTCAAGTCCAGTTCAAATTTTTATTATGGTTAAATTACAAATCTGTTGCTTATTGAATCCCACCGAATCTGTACACACACACACACACACACACACACACACTGGGTTCGGTTGGTATTACAATTATACGGCAAATTATAATGTTCACTAACGGGTGTGTTGTTTCAGTGTGTTTCAGTGCTTCATCCAACCGGGTGTTGAATGATGTTTTGTGCACAAACAACTTGAGGATGAAAGAGAGTTCCAGGTATAGTCAATCTCCTGCTATGTCATACCCCTCGGGAATTCGAAAAAATGAATAAATTCCAGAAACTGCGACATGGCAGGATAAACAGTAGTAGATGCTAAGATTTTGTATAAAAATCGGTTGACAGTTTTGTGAAAAAATAAACCGGATCGATGAAAACTAGGTTAATCCCGTTAGTTGTTCCCAATAGTTATGATTATAAACTGTTTATTTATAACGGAATTTAGATCTACCGTCCTGCGTAAACTGTATGTATCGCAGAAATTCAAATATTTTATGACGCCCACAGCCTATTCTCGGTACATTGCATCCGGTATTCAGACCTTTTTCAGTTCTATGTGTCTAGTTATCCCGAAACTATCTACTTTTCTTCAGGGGAACTTTTTCTGACCCAATTATCCCATATTGATTCCACCTATTCCTCCATTCCGTTGCAATGTTAGGCTAACCACAGAATTGATTACATGACGTCCACCATAATATACAACTGTTTTATCTATAATAATCACATCATTATTAACCCATTCAAGGAATCAAAGGTGAACCAGTTTGAATACAGTGAGAAAGAAATAACATCTAAAATGAGTGACATCTGTTACGGGGTATACTCAGAACATTGACTTCTTTCCCATATTCAAACTGATTTTCCACTGTGTAACCTATTCATGATTTTCTAGTGAGAAATGTGTACCATTAGCGTCTGTAGACATCTATTCGTTCGTTAGCTTTGTTGTGACCAGTGTATGTTCCAACCGATTGAGTTATTCGTCATGACCGTTGTTGGTCGGACCAAATTCAACCCGTGATGCCATAACGTGGTTCATAAACTAGAAGTGCATCTCACAAACTGTCCTTAGACCCGGGTTAGACTGACCTTTGGCAAGTGACCTGTCTAATTTTATCGGTGCTCTAGGACAAGTGAGAGTATCGTTCATTCATTCACACAGGCGCATCCGCGCGACGGTGGTTATCGATCGCTCGGACCTGACATCTCACTCCACACACCCGCTCACCAGTAAATCGCGATTATCCTTCAGAGACCATCGATAGACCGAATGACCGTGGCTTTGGTGACCATTGTAGCAAATGACCACTTTCAAGTGCCCCACAGAATTGCAAAACTTTACAAAGCTGTATTATTAGCAAAATTCCAAGTTGTCGTTTGTTTCAGCTTGGCTCTCCTTTGGAAATCAACAAACGCACTGTTTAAATCAATTGTACATTACAATAACCGACCCGAACTCCGAGCATTAGCCAAGGCAAGCAGCTTCAATTGATCCAATAACTTCTGCGCCTCTCCGATTGAGATAATTTCTGTCGCATTCACTGCCTCAAATTCATCTTCTTTGTGATGCTTAGTTTGATTCGAAACGAAATCCTCTAATGACTAAAGAAAGACTTGATACAAAAATTGTAAATAACCCACTTCTTAATCATCAAATAGAGCGCCTTTGAGAAACCATTTTGCGGTTGACATCGGACAGCCAACTGTGAAATAACGTAGAAGTCATTCATGTGTTCTTTGAAGAATTATAACTAGACGGAAGGCTTTCCCTATCTATACCTCGGAGGCATCGTGAAGTTTGAAACTTTCAAATCGCCAGTCATGCTACCGCAAAGCACTAACTTGACCTCTCTTCGGATTTCTTGGGCCCAGAAACTTCCTTTCCTTTTAGACTTAATGTTCTTTGTGGGACCTGCCTGTATTACCTTATCTGTTTGACCAAGAGCGAAACCAACTTTTGGAAGCCTTGAAGTCATCATGATGCAATCGTTGTGCTAGCTGGATTGCCTTCTTACATACGATGCTCTCCACCAGTGGGAACTCTCCGAGCTTTTCCCTCAACGCAATCAACCAAGCCGAAGTTGCCTCATTCACTACCTTGAAACTTTCGTTGGTTTTCAAGTGACATCCTTCCTCAGATGCTCCAGCGCTCAAAAATTATCTGATAGTCTCTCGATAGGACATAACATTGTAGACAGCTTTTCGTGAAATTCCAAGTGGTTTGGTTACGGAGCTCTGAGTTGCGCCTGGCTGTTTCCAACACATACTGCTTCTCTCTGATCGATAAGGCGCTTGCACATTTTGACGTCAAATGACACTGTCTCCGATCACTTACATCGGTATGACTTCCTCGCAAGGATTATCCAATCAGTGAACAGCGCCATGAACGCGTCCCATTAGGTGAAACGCCATTGATTGAGTGCGACATTTCAGGGTGGATGTTCAATGGTCCTCCCGAACATCGGTCAACGACTAAGTGAGTACGTATCAGGAACTGCGACATATTGAGGGGTGTGAAGGGTGTAGTCAGAAACTACATTTCATTTCATTTATCATTTCTTCCAATGGAGATTCACTATGATATGTTTGCAGCCTAGGTAATTCGGCCATCCACCTCTTCATGCGCATCCCATATCGTTCCGGCTAAGATGCCAATGGACGGGAATCCTAAGCGATTGCTGTCTAATGGGTCTGCCATCCGCGGTATCGATCTCGTGCCTGACAACATGAGTCCTCCCGAGGGGACTGTCTTCCTGATCGAAAACGTCGCGAAAGGGCAAAACTGTTGGCAGACTACCAGCTCGAGCTCCTCCACGCCGGACCCCAGGAATGCCTTCGCCGCGATCGTTCTCAGAGCCCAGACGCATACGTCTACAGTCTTACCAAGTTGTTGACGCCGTTCCCGCCATATGGCTGCATTTTCCGTCCGAGCGAAAAGCTTGCGTAAGGAAGCGAGGATTTGTCCCAAGAAGCTCAAAGTCATGGGCCGCATTGTGGTTTGTGACGCGCCGGCGACGTAGAGCCCAACGCGGAATTCCCAATCCTCAAAATCATCGCCCGATCAGAAGAGCGGTGGTTGATGTGGCATCGGTTTCGGGTCATGTCCCTTCGCGCACAGCGCCGGCTCCACGGTTGGTGGGCTGAGGTTGTCTGCAGATTTTTCCATATCCTGCCCGCGACACCAAATGTAACTGATTCTATATGGCGGTAGCGGTAACCTCGGGAGCTGGCTGTAACGGAACACAGGGAGTCAATATGGACCAGCTCAGCACACGCACCCAGATACGAAATCGTGACGAAAAGACAGGGGAACCGGAAGACACGTGTATTGTCACGCAGCAAGCGATTGCAATAAGTGTACATAACCGAGGGAGGGCAACAATCAGTAAAACATCCGACTGGTTTGGTGTTTTCAGGGATGGTAATCGCGTCCTGGTGTATTTTGATATCTTCCAGGTTTGTACAAGTTTGTAAATAGAGCAACAGGAAGATGAAATTACACGCGGTTTGTTCAAATGCCCCGTTACAGTTTCGGGAGTGTTGCAAGTGCTTTGCGGTCTTTGCTAACCATGACTGCATTGGTTCCCACGGTGGACAATTTGCAAAACACCCTTTCAGATAGAATAAAGCACACTCTGACTGTTGGCACGAAAGTGTGTGGTGATGCGTGAACGAAATGGGCAAAAACTTTTAAAAAAACCGCTACGGAAAACGGTGTGTTTCCTCAATCGTTATTTGTCGTCATTTTATTTTATTTTTCATTATTTGTTCGCTGAGCCATTCAGTTTCTTATTCGACTCGCTAGAAAGAAGAGAATCAAGGGGTAGAAGAACAACAAGTGAACAAATTGATATCAGTTTTGTGTGCGTGCGATGCGCATTCCAGGGGAATAATATTTTGCCAACATGTGGGTTCATTCCTAAATATTTTGGTATCCGATGGAACAGCTAAAAAAAATCAACAAGGACAATGTTGACCTGATCCCGCACTGAACAAGTGAAATTTCAATACAAGTAGACAAAATCTACAAGATCGATAACTAAACACGCACCGGTGGGACGCACAACGATACCGACGTTGTTGAAGGTAAAATCTCGGTCACGCACACGCACAATGTTGCTGAGTACGCTTGCAAATATTTCTCAACACCAACCGGTTACACTGAAGCCAACAATGGTTGTGCTGGTAGATGTGGAATGCCAGTGTGTTTTACTCCAATCAATGGTCATGGCTACGGATCGTACAAAACTAATCATAAACAGTGTTAGATCATGAACGTTGACGAGTCATCACTCTGGCAATTGTACCCAGCGGCTTTGGTTTCTGCTCTTTAGCAACTCAGTTTGCGGACTAATGTGGAAGAAGTAGACGGAAGAGTCAATAAGCAAAGACTAATTGCTTTCTTCCGCTACCGCAGGACGGGCAATTTGCAGTCTAATCAAGTGGCAATCAAGTGGAACTTACCGGTTTCAAATCGGGATAGGCGTCATCGTAACCGGTGGTCAGATCACGTACACCCACGATACGGAATCGACCAAGCTGTTGCGGATAGCCCACTGGACTTGGATTATGCGGCCAGTGGCGAATGCGTTCAAACATGGCATTGATTTTGGCCGGTTCGTGACAAAAGTAGTAGCTGTTGTTGGTCACGTGAAACCCGTATCTGGAAGTGCAAGTGTTCGGTCATTGAGTGTGTGTGTGTGTGTGTGTACATATATATATAAGAGAAATGAAACAATGCGTTGACTACCCTTTTATTCCAAGGATACTGACATTTCACCTGGGCATAAACACGGGGTCTGGTTCAACTGTATGGAATGGTTGGTTTGGTCGGTTTGCATAATCCGGTGTGAGCGTTTATGAAAAGGCTTTGTGATCTGATACAATTGTTTGTTGCTGAACTCGCACTGGTCATGGGAATAGCATACTTGGAGCCCAAAAGAATATTGTAAGTTGCAAACAGATGAAAAAAATAATAGCATGCAGAAATGATATCTTTTGTGTAGAAATTGGGAGTTTGTTTAAGTGGAGTGATTCGGGTACTAGTTAACTGTGGGCTATTCCACAAACCAGTAGCTATTCAAAGACCGTGAGCGGGTGGACATTCATGTTTTTCCATTAGGTATTTGGTCGACAAGTTGCTCGACTACCAACCATTCCGAACTAATCTAACTAATGGAGATGTGTGTAGGAAGCCAATTGGTGGGACTGATTAAGATCAAGTGAATGATTTCCAGTTTGGTGCTGCTTAAAGGGACAAAGCGCATTGAGCCAACCTTCGTTTACATTAAACCTGCCAGCTTCTGTAGTAAATGAAATTCTGCAGGTGCATGTCTATCTGTGTACAAACCGAAAACGAAAACATGCGGTAGATGGAATACTTCATTTCATGGGTGACTACCAGACCGAATAAATCACTCCTGTGCTATTTCGGGAATGAAGGCTCATTCTTACTCTCGGAGTGGACAAAACATCTGGGATTTTTATGGGGTGGGAGTGATGGTTAAAGTGAAATATAAAAGAGTATATATACATATATTCCTGTTTGAGGTCAGGCCGAATGTCAAACAAATCACGGCACAATAAACCTTAGAACAAAGAAAAAGTTCCATGATTTGATTTGAGGCTTTTGGAGGTTCTACCTAAGTAGATGTGGGAATACCCGGACAGATTTCCGAGGATAGTAGCCGAAACCAAAGCGAAAGGTTGCGGTATTGATGTGAGTATCGAATGAACAGAACAGTTCGTTTTGTGAACCAGACACAGAGAGAAAGCAAGCAGAAGAAAACTTACTGTTGATAAATCTTGACCAATCGATCCTGAAGGGACATGCCTTGGTTGTATGTGTCCGTGGCCAGTTCGCTCATGGCAACCAAAGCGCTCACTCCGTCCTTGTCCAAGACCACATCACTGCACATAAATCCTGTGAGAATGAATAGACAAAGAAAATCACTGCGACAAGTTTGATTTGTGCTGAATTCACACAAAAAAGAACTGTTTTCTTCTTTATTGTAATAATGTCTCATTTACGTCAAGAATGTCAGCTAGTTTTAACCATAGTGTAATCTATCGAACTGAATTTCTACAGCATAACACTCACCTCCGGCCATCCACTTATCCACAGTGCAGTTTCTAGCGTTTCAGTTTGACAAACCACGAGCGGATACATAAAGACACAGATTGCTCCCAGTGAGACCAACGAACCAGTAACACAGTTTAAATTTGCCTAATTGTATAGGTTACACGGGATAATGGTCTTCAAGGGTTAGGGATACTTAGGTGTGGTGCACATTTCTCTACCACGTGACAGGCATGACGTGCATCTTTCCAGATAGACTCCCGCAGAACAATGTATTCTTCAAAGCAGGAAATGGCCACAGCAAAGGCAACGGTAACAACTGGTTGTACCCATTCAACAGAAGTGATGAATAAATGTTACAACGGTGCATTGCGAAGTAAGTTACAAGGTATTCGATCAAACATTCATTTGGTCCATGTAGTATTATCAAATATACATATATATATATATATATATCTTTTTTCAGCTAGAGTCACCACCCCCAAGTACACGAATGACAAGCTTTTGAATCACTGTGTAGGTGTTTCAACCGCGTTAGCGGTTATTCGAAGAGCATGCCCTACTGGGATTGGAATAGAATTTATCACATCACGCGCCGAATCCTTCTTGGTACTGCATCACGAAGACGCATCATCATCACACCCGTACCGATGGCCTCCTCGAATGCGAACAAGATGTGAATACCGTCCGCCGCCAATTGCTGAGCTCGGTTCCCCATCCACTTGAATCCGGTCAATGTCTCTTCAAAGTAGAAACCTTCTTTTTCGGCAATGGTGTGCAGAATCTTGGAAGATACCGTGCTGGATAGCATGCCCACTGTGGACGCTGTGCGTAGAACCGGGTGAAATGGAAAAGGGGTGACAAAAGGATATGTTGAATCATATTCCGCGGAAAAAAATATGGAAACATGTGGAGTCACACAAAGAGAATCGAAACTGAAGACGCCTTTTTATATGATAACTAATGTTATGTTGTAAGTATAAAGTAATAACTTTTGTGGTTTCTGCTCTAGCAACAGCACAAAGGGAGACATATGACGAACCTGTATGGAATTTCGTATGCTCAGTTCCTTTCACAACTTCAAAAACGACACAGAAAAGCCATATCTCTGCAATATATTACGAATTCGGTTTTTTCAGGAAATCGCACTCAATTGTTTACACAAGGGCCTGAATATGAGACAACAATTTCCTACCAGAACTACTAACTATCAGCTAATCTACAAGACCCTTGCCTCCAAAAGCCTCAATATGGTCGGGGTGGGTGTCTAGGGTTGTGGTTGGTTACCCTTCTCTTGCACCTCGCGAAATGCTCCCGTATGACCAAACTTCTCAAACAGCCTCTGCTGAGGAAGCACTACTCAATGCCATTCCACCGAAAGGAGAGGACGAAAAGCCGATATCCGGGGCTATAACCGGCTTTGT